AGGTGATTTGTATCTGACCTACAATAGCGGAGGATCAAATCTGAGAGTGGGATTCATTGAGCTGCTTGGCCCTTCTATTCAAGATGGTTTGGCATTACCAGGCAAAATTAATAGGCTACTTGAGAAGTCATGGCAAATTGGCGAAGGCCACAAACATAACAATGCAGATGAATTGTTCGTGTGGATTGGAAAGTGTGTTGCGGAAGTTGTTCAGGATGGAGTTGACGAATGGGGCTCACAGCTACCTTCTGAGTTGCCAATGGGTGTTACAATGAGTTTCCCAATGATGTTTGATGCCGAATTTATCATTTTTAAGCGGACCGTCACTAACACTCGAATAGTCAAAATAAATTATCAGACGCAGTTCTGATGTCTATGGGCAAGGGGTTTGCGATGACCTCAAATCTCAACCTTGGCGAGCAGCTCCTCAAAGGCTACAAAATATCAACTGCAACCTTGCCTCATCTTCCCCGCATCAAAATAACTGCCATAGTAAACGATGCCGTTGCAAGCCTAGTATCCTTCCACCGACAGCAACGTACGCCGAATCAGAAGGTGGCCATGGGTCTAATCGTCGGCACTGGCTGTAATGCCACTATTCCTCTATCAATCTCCAAACTTCATGTCACAAAATATCCATCCCACACCCTAAACACTATCGAGGGCAAACAGAAAGACACCAAAATCATAATCAACACCGAATGGTCCATCAACGGCACAGCTCCCCCTCTTGACACCCTGAACTTCGTCACAAAATGGGACAAGATTCTCGACGCCAACAGCGAAACTCCAGGTTTCATGCCTTTCGAATACATGACCGGCGGCAAATATCTCGGCGAGCTAGGTCGTCTTATCATCCTCGAATATTTCACAACCCAACTCCAGCTACCATCCGAAACCCTTCCCACAGTTCTCCTCAAACGGAACGCTCTCGATGCCAGTATCCTTGCTAAAGTAGGAAGAGAAGATCAGCTATGCCCACCACTCGATCTCGCCATGCCATTCCCCATAGATCCAACTAGCGGAAAACCCCAAACCTGGACTCCGGAATTAGCAAATGTGGTTGTAACCGTAGCAAAGAAGATCGAGAAGCGCGCGGCAGGCATGGTAGCTGCTGCTATCATCGGTCTTGTCGGAGTAGCCGACGAACTTCCTTTCTCGCCACTTTCCAAAGATACTTCAAAGTCAACAAATCCCAACCAAACCAATCCCATCCATGCCTCGGAAAATATAACAGAACTCCTCGTAGGCTACACCGGCTCCTGTATCTCCCACTTCCAAGACTATCTTGCAGATTGCCAGATGTATCTCGATGAGATCATGCACAAGGAATTCGGTCCCGACAAGGGCGGCAAGAGAATCGTACTAGAAGCGTGTATGTATGGAAGTATTATCGGAGCGGGTATTTTAGCGGGAACGGTAGAGTGTATGGAAGAAAGTCAACTCTTGGTCGAGGAATCGGCTGCGGATTTGGTGGGTTGAGGTACGCACGCGTCGTGGGATTTTAGGGAGCTGAGTAAAGATCTGAAGTTGGGATGAAGTCGCGGGCGGCATTTGCGTTGATCGATTGTATCGATTTTATTTGGTTTTGTTTGGGAAATAGAGTAGCGAGCATCAGTATGGGTGGGCATTTGCATTTGCATTGGTACGGAGAAAGAAAAGAGGTCTACAAACACGAGGACTGAACATGAGATACGAGATGAACGGCCGGCATTTTATGATAGATAGGTAGATGGACAGACGGATACATCATATAGAGGCACCTTAAGCAATTCACATCACTTACTTACTGAGACTTTTGCACAGATTTGAAAGAATCAATCACAAATGGGGATATCATACATTGCATTTCTACCCGGCTTGAAGTTCCGCTAAGCCTTAAAATAAATTATTCATATCCACGCCATGCCATTCATTGGAGACAACGTCTCCATATATTACAAATTTCTCATTTCCGTTCTCATCCTCAATGAAACCCGTTTACCCCATCCGTCAAATTCGTCAACTCTTCTTTTCTTTCTCTATATAGTTCTTGAGCTTCTCTCTCACGCTTGGAGACAAATCCCACTCTCTCCCTCAAATCTTCCAATCTCCTCGAGATGGCTACATCTTCTGAAATCTGCAACGTTTTGAACGCGTCTAAAGAATAAGTAGCTTTTGATAAAGCGTCAGCTGCTTCGCCGATTTTTTGACGTAAGGTTTTAGCTCTTTGTTGGTAGCCGCCTAAATGGAGGGCGAGTTTCTTTTCGGATTTATTGCCCTTCTCAGCAGCAGCGACGATGGATTCTTGAACATTCTGGGAAATTGTTAGTGATTGAAGAGACAAAGTTGGTAGAAATTCAGGGCTTACGTCAAAAGCATCTAGAAGCATCTGATGCTCATCAATCTCGTCATCAGAATCGTATCCACTCAATCCAGGTAACAATGATGATTTATGGACTTCGTCCCATGCCGCTTTGAAAGCATCCGATCCTTGCTCTACCAAGTCCTTAGGAACTTCCATCAACAACTGCAATCGCGCTTGCGAAAGATCATCATCCTCAAACACTTCAATGGCCTTCGATGTGCCTCTGACTTTGGCTCCAGGTGTGGGGTACTTGAGGGCATCATTTGCAATCAATAATGCTGCTTCTCTTTCAATAGAACCTTCAATTGTATCTTCAATGTTCTCCACAGTTTTCATTAATGCGTTGATATCGATAACTGATGGCCGAGGCAGCCCTCTTTGTAAAACTTGTGTTCGTCTTTTGAATTCTAGTTGTTCTCGAGCTTCTCGAACTTGTCGATTCCTTCTGTCCCTGAGCTCTGCGTCTTCCTCGGATAGTTCTTGAACACCAAAATTTTCTTGCTGCTCTTCCGGTAATTCTAACTCCCACTCGGTATCTTTTGGCTTTGGTAGAGATGCAAGACCAGCTTTCAGGGAATTTTTAAGGGTCATGTCCCTTATTTTTAAATCTTGAGGTGTTCTCCCAACCAACTCCATCTCACCATCTGCATTCAGTGCAAAACTATCTCGAGGAGTTCGCATTGGTGTAGCTCCTACACCATTTCTTGCAGGAGTTGCACCGATTCCATTCGCACGAAAAGGGGTTGCCATAGGATTAGGTGTTTCCATTTGATGCCTTCGAGGAGTAACGCCATCAAACCCTGTGCTACCAGATCCTTCGTGCAAAGGTGTATTTTCTCCTCCTAGAAGTGATGATTGTGTCTCGGTTAAAGCTCTGATATTTCGTATTTCGTTGGCGATATGGTCCTCTTGTGCCGGGGCTCGCGGTGTTCGAATTGGTGCTCCACTGTTTATAGTCGAATATGTATTCACAAGCCCTCTTGTTGCATCATTCTCGCTCGACCTCGCCATAATGTTCGCCCTCTCCCCTATCATACCCATCTTTACAATTTCCTCGAGTTCTCCCTCACCCACCTGAGGTGCTGGTAATACCAACGCCCGTCTCTTACTACTCTGTTCTGCTTCTCGAATTTTTTGCATCTGCCCAGCTTTCATGGCCGCTTGGTAGGATGCCGATGGGGCGTTTTTATCATTCTTTTGTCGTTTTGGATCCTGATTATCATCTTGGTCTCCTTTGCGCTTTATCGCAAGTTGCTGTTTTCGTGGATCAAAAGCTGCTCTCTGCTTTTCGTTTTGGATGGATTCGTCGCCAGTATCGTAAAATCCAGGAGCGGGGGCTTTTTCGAAAGGTATATCGGCATTGTAGTCCATCATCCCCTTCTTCCGATTAACCACTTTGATATTAATGCCAGCATTCTTAAGCTCTCTGCGCTTCTGCAAAACGGCCAACCTCCTTGTCTCTTCCAATTGACGTTCACGAGCCTTCCTCTTCGCCTTTTTACCCTGTGTATTTGCTAAACGGGCGCGAGCTTCACTCAACATTTCTTTTTCATCCTCATCTAAATCAACGGTATCTGGCCTCGCAGGTTTCGATTCTGGATCTGGATCGACTTCCCCAGGTCGCAATCTGCGTACATCATCCGCAGATGGTGCTTTGTTTTCTCCGCCATCAGGCCCACCCAGTCCGAACTCTCCAGCCTCTTTCTGTTCCGCTTCATCGAGTAATTTCTGATACCTTTCGAGGCATTGGGTCGCTGTTCGTCCGACAATAGGAGCAATAGTTCGCCATTGTGTTGGCATCAACTTCGCCAAATGTAACAATTTTTCATCCTCTTCCTTGCTCCATTCTATTTTGCGAATACCTGGATCTAACCATTCGCTCCATCTTGCTTTACATTGCTTCGGTGTTTTTCTTGCGAGAAGTGAGGAAACTCGAGCCCATTGATTCAATCCATATTTCGAAACACTTGCTTTTAGAATTTCATCTTCGATATTAGTCCAAACTCCACCCTTGACAACTGGCATTTTGGCGTGTGAAGTTGTTGATTTTGTCTTGCCTGGTCTCTGCTTTATGTTGATGCGCCTGGAAGCTTGAGTCGCGAGAAATAAATCTTGGGACCTTGCCTATCACTAGCGCGAGATATCTACGGTTATCACGTGATTGATTCTCGACGTCGGTCCTTTAGCCTCATCGGCTCAAATGTTGTATGTATTATTGGTGGCCTGCGAATGAACCATTTAACGTTGATCAATGTCTTCATTTTCTATGAGCAAGGAAATAATCTCTTGTTTTCATAGTCATTCATTTATCTTATACGATACGGCGATTATCAAGAGCCAACGCCGAGGATGACTACAAGGGAATCAGCCATAGAATTCCAGCTCAGAAATTTCCCCAGGAAATGTTCATTGGAATCACGACTCAGGCAGAAGCGTTTCACATTCCAGTAAGCACAAGTATCATGTCATAATGCATTGCCAAGTCAAAAAGGCTGAAGCTTTTTGTAAAGGGAGCGTGAGTTTAACTCCATTGCAAATTTCATAATCAATCTTTCCTGTCTGTTTGTCTGCAAAACGAGTGTAGCAATGAGCTTAAGTTCAAGCACGAAAAAAACATCTTAAGACCCCCACCTATTCGAAATCCCTACAAACCCTATGCCGGCGTTGGGGAGCAAACAAAAGTCGTAGTAGTAGTTGGCACATCTGCCGTTACGGTTGTCGTAAATATTACAGCAGGACCGACACCTCCAATAGGCTTCACACTCAAAGCGCCACAGCCTGCACAATCTACGCTGCTAGTAGCTGTGACTGTAGATGGAAAGAGCGTTTTTGTAGGCCCATGGGTAAACTGTTTGAAGTGGCTTAGAGTAGACGTGCATGGAATGAGTGGACCTCCTTGTCTCTTGGTTGGGGGTAATTGAGGACCGCCTGGATTGTAGGATAGCGGTGTTGCTCCTTCAGTAACAGTCACTGTCGTCAAATCTGTGGCACAGCCTGTTCGGCATTTCGCACATGCGCCTGGAACTGTTACTGTTGGAGTTGCTACACAACATTCTGTAAGGATTGTCAGTATTGCCTATCAATAAAGGATGGTATGGTAATGTGGAACGAATAGGTGAGGTTGTAAAGAAAAGCGAAAGAATCTTATGAAAGAAATACAAAAGTGTGGCCCGAGACCAGGGAACACAATCTAGGAATAAGAAGGATTTAGTGAACCGGTTAAGCTTACTATCACTGGGCGGCACTGTAATTGTAGTCGTCGATAAAAGAATACACAATGGCACGGGACCACATGTAGCAGGGTCGAAGGACTTTGTTCCTGAGCAAGCTGTAGTAATATTAGATAGCTGATACTACTTAAGGGAAGAATAATGGCGTACGGAAAGAGTTCTGAATGGTGGTAATCGAGCGAGTATAGCAAGAATGTGGGACTGTCTTAACCGTCGAGATAGTACTAATGTACGTGGTAGTTATCAAGCTTGGAGCACATGTTTCGGAACGATGGCGAAGGGCTTCAGGGATACAGTAGACATTTTGTCTGAAATCAATGTAAGTATTTGTGTATTTCAAAATGGGTAAGAGAGCTCGAAAAGCACTTACACTGCAGTCAACACAAGGATACTGATGGTGTAAAGATGATACATGATGAAAATTTTGTTTGGGAATGTCTGTTGCGTAGAAGTTATCTGAAAGTTATTGTCTTGATCGATCCGGAGAATCCATATTGTGGAGGAGACAAGCCGTATATATATCATCAGCCAGCTGTTGAGCTTCGTTCCTTCCACGAATCATCCCTCGCTACCTCGCGGAATGGATCATCACATTCACAAACTCAACGGGGAAACGCACCTACGCAACAGGGAAACAAAATCACGTACCAGTCTTGTCTTACCGAGCTAGATCGTCAGCTGAAAAGGCTTGTACGGTCTCGTTATTTGTGTCATGAGAGATTGACATTGCTTACACGAATCAATTCTCGTATTTAAGTGTCGTGTAACATCAAGATCACTCTCCCGGGGTGTCATCACGTTTGTTATTCGGTTTGATACGAAGAACTCATGAAATAACTAGATGGAAGCTCAAACCCGGATTTGGAGGCTCAACCTGCCAAGCGTAAACTGCAACTTTTAACAGAAGAATGTGTTCTTCATATTTGTGTTGTGGGTAATATGTTTTCTGATTTTGCTCGTTCTATTTAATTCCTTTATATGAAGGAAGAACCTTTAACTTACACGTTAATCATACATTGTCAGCCATTTCATTAGTTTTCAACGCCTTGTAATGTAAACGCCCTCGCTATGCTAAAATAAAAGGATTTGCCGAGGAATTCAATCCAAAATGTGTATCCTGCTCTTCAAAGCCCGCCTTACCGGAATGCAGCCGTCACCCGAAATCATATCCCAGACGAAACAAAGCCATGATAATCGTTGACTCAATCAAGAGAAGAAGTATTGACTTTGCTTAAGACGTGTCACATCGAAAGCTCCCTGCATTAAAATTAGTCGTCAGCCAGACTGAGCCAGTATTATAGTTTAGAACGCGTGCTTACCTTCTTAGGAATAGGGGCGAACTTCAGCGGAAGCCAAACCAATTGGGGTGTTTGATTTGGTCGAGACCTCGGCTTCATTAAGGTCTCAAATCGATCTTTGGGTGCGGTTTCTAATTCTGCCTCTTCTGAAGTCTCTTCCGCTGCCTCTAATTCAATGTTCGGATTATCTTCTAAAGCTTCCTCTATAGCTTCGTCCGTAGCACCGGTGTCCCAGCTGGATACAGTATCGTGCTCTTTAGCTGACCTTGAGTTGACCATGTTTCCCAAACCCACGGTTTTAACATCTAATTCCGGATCCAACTCGACCTCACCCGTCATAACTTCGTATATACTAGCTGATGTAACCATGCGCTTTCCTTCTTCTACTTCTTCTGGATTAGATGAGCTAAGAAGGCGCAGCCTCTTTACCTCCCTCAATAAATCGCTGTTTCTATCCCTCTCAGTTGACTTGAGGGATTTGCGATATTGAGAGATCTTAGTGAACGCTAGAGTTCCCGGCTTGACTCTCACAAGTTGCATGTAATCCTTGTACCGAGTAGCCATTTCTGCTGCCAAGCGTCCAATAACATCGTCACTATGAATCTCAATGAAGGCATCTCTCAAAAATGTGTTCATCGTATCGATATCAGCGGCGTGTGTCCAAAATGAATCGTGAACAGCCGCAAACGCCAATTTTGCTTCATTACATTTCACTGCTGAAAGAAGCATATGCGTTGCATCTAGAGAGTGGATGAAATTGGGAGGAAACGCTTGGAGTTGTTTACGACTGCTGACAGGGTCCGATCGATGCGGTTCAGATAAGCTGAGAAGTTGAAGGTTTGTGCGCACTAGCCGTGATTTGTGAGTTCGGTAAGGTTGGACAACTGGCAAGTTCAAAGGTGTCGTCCAAATCACACTGGATTTAAATTGAGAAATGTCATCTAAACTTGCTGCAGCTCGTTTAGAAGGGCGTCCTCCTTGCTCTGAGGCTTGTGCGACTATCCTCTCAATCTGCTCAGGTGTTAAACTATTTGAAATTCGGGACGCACAATCTCCAAGCCAGTACTGAATGTCGTGGGCCCCCTTAAACATGGTGGAAAGAGCGGTAAAGATCTTAGTGACCACGTAAGAGGCTAGAGTCCCTGGATTAATTTCTTCATTATCAGGCAAATCTTTATGGGCTGCAACAAGTTGTTTTCGGACTTGTGCTTTAGCTCCAATGAAGGTGACTCCGTAGACATTGGTCATAACGGTTTGTTTGACAACCTTACGGGTTATTTTTCCACTCAAAACTTTGGCTTTGGGGTGGTCAGCAAGCAGGTCTTTTGCGATACTCTCCTTCACGAGATCTGCGACTGCAGTATAGACATCCGCCGGGCGATCACCAGGCTCAAGGTTGACTTGCTGGGCACCCCATACGTCACCACCTAATGCTGCGTAATGTTGAAGACCGTTACAAGTACCATCCTGATGAACAGGTAAATATGAAATGAAACTAGCTGGGTCTCCAGATTCAAGCGCGTTCTTGAACTCCATGCATGCTGCTAAGCATTGCCACGGATCTTCAGCCTGTAGCCACCACCTTTTGCCTCCCAGTGGGTTTGTTGCCGAGTCGTAAATTTCGTCTATGTTTTTGCTTGCGAATTCTTCTCTCTCTTGAAGACTCGCTTTATCGAACCCGTATACGTTGGCGAGGTGAACCTTGAGCCACCTTAAACCAGAAGTACCAAGTGCCTTCCCGGTCCCAAACATCATAAGCCCTCGACAATGATCTGCTCCCATGTGGTTAAGGTAGGGAGGAATTGGATATGCTCTTCCACGGAAATCCACGTTATGTGGGAAGTAGAAGGTTTTATCGCGTAGAGCTCTAGCGATTTCTAGTTGGAAATTTTGGAAACAACGTTGAGAATGAAAACTTGACTTAGAGTTTTCTACTTTCTTGACTGCAGTGACCCATCTTCGGCGTTCGAGTGGGTCGGAAGAGGTCTCGGGCTCGGGAGGGTAATCGAGTTTTGGCTTGTCCGGAGCAAGGTTTGCAATTGCGTCACCAGAATTCCATGCCTCTAGCATAATATCAAAAACTGGCTGGTTGATTCTCCAAGATTGATCTCCCAGTATGTTGAGGCCTTTAAATACCGTTGACAAGTTGCCCCGATCAATAGCAGCATCCGCATAATTCCTCTGGTCTGCATCTCCATTCTTAACGCGCATGACCCTTCCAGGATGTTTAAGAAAGCCACCAGAACTAAAACCAGTCCATGGCTCGGGCTTTACAAGCATGGGAAGATGTTTTGCAAGAAGGCTGTGAACAGGCTCGCGCTTGAGCTGATCAACAATGACTTTATTGGCGTTGATCACACCGAGCTTTCTACCCATTCTGTATTGCTGGGCATGAGAAAAGGCAGGTTGCAATTGAGTAACAGTCTCGTTAGTTTCAGGGTGTATCATTGTAACTGGAACTTTTGCAACCTTCAGTAAAGATTCCAATAAGAAAGATCCAACTTTGGCTTTAATTCCTACAGACCACTCATGCGCACGAATTTGCGAAGAAACAAAAGCATCAGGCGAAAAGCTTGGAGAGTCGTCGTTATCAATCGATTCTTCGCTAGCACCGTGTGCTTTCGCTTTGAGAATTCGGAGCATTCGAACTCTGTCGGCTACGCTGTCGGACCATGAGGGCTTCGCCATGTTTTTCTGTATGGTTTCGAAGATGCTCTCATCTTCTACACTTTTAGCGATTTGCAAGATAGAAAATGATAGTGTAAGTCCTTTGTCAATTCCCGAAGACGACAACGCGTGCATATGAGCGATAATTGTTAGCGCTGCGAGCTTCTCAGCCGGGAGGTAGCGTAAAAAGGGCCCGTATTCGCATCTGCTTATATCTGCTGCGCTTCGTTGCTGCTTCATTTCTGCTTCGTCGATGGCTTTCAATTCTTCTTTCAGGGCATCTGTCAAAGCTACATGCCATTTCCACATTCTCGCTCCTAGTGATTTCGATTGTAGTGAGGTGTTTAATCCTAATTTTGACAAATTTACGCTCTCGTCCTTCCAACGATCTATGGCAGCCTGCACAGCATCTTCTTCCAATTGTGACTGGATAGCCCTCTGCTGTTCCTCGCTCATTTTTGACATATCATATCCTGCAGATGGTAAAGAAGAAAAGAGCGACAAGGTTTTTCTCAATGACTTAAGTCCGAGACCCTTTTGTTCGGTTTGGCGAACTTCCGGAACTGATGTGCCTGTTTTTTCGACATACTGTAGAACTCCGTCGGAAGGATCTACTGCTCTGGGCGTCTCAGAGACAAATATATCTTGAAGATCTCCAAGTCCCTCCGCTAGATTGTATGTGGGGCAAATATGGTTGATGATATCTAGTTCGTGGGGTAGCAAAACATTGCATGCTAGAACCTCCAAACCAGCTTCTCCTTGGACCATGTCCATATATCTTGATACCAGTCTATCACGTCGTTGACCTGGAGGCGATTGAAGTGAAGCCTTCAGCATATATGCTACAGTCAAGGCATCTTGTGGAAGATTCTTGTTTCGTACTTCGAGTTCGAACCACTTATGCAGAAACTGTGTCGCTTGCTCTGAGGGTTTCATCGTAATCTCGTAGACTGCAGCACGTAAGAATTGATTTTGTAATTGTAGTAGTGTCTCTCTGTCGACCTCTTCCATTTGTGCCAGGCGTTTAAAAATCACACTCGCACGCTCTATCCTTCCAACCTGAAGGCAAGCAATGAGTAGTGCTATAATTTCATCACTAGTACCGCCGACCGCATCATTACCTCCACGCCGATGTCTTTTGGGAGCTCCCGCACTATCATCCGGGATTATGATTGGCGTCTGAAGTTTCGGTATACTGAATGGCAATGATGCATAATTGTTCGATGATGAATTGTGTAACCCTTCGAATGGAATCTCTTCGAATGGCTGATTTATGGCCGTTGCTAATGACCGCGATGGAGGTCTTGTAGCATTGTCTCTCGAGTTTCGTCTTCTCCGTAACCCAGTCGCATGATGCCCTGAGTCGACATTAATATTCCGGCATGCCACAACTTGATTCGAATGGATAGTTGGATATAGAAAAGGAAGATATGCTTGTTGTTGACGTTT